ATAATCTTATTAAAAGAAAACTTGGTTGATCAACAGCCACAAATAGCATCTGTGATAGACTCCCTTAAAGCAATCATATCAGCCAAACTTTCAGCATCTTGATCTCCAAAATCATTAGATTCTATATCCTCCTCAGGTAATGAATGCCCCCCCACAAGTCTTGTTGGTTGCTCGAAAACATTAAGTTCATCATTGTCAGCCATACTGAAGTTTGTATCTGATTACGAGGAATGTCTTCGGATGAAGTTATGTAGTGTCATTGTTGCAAACACAATGTACACCAGCTTTTGGAAAGGAGCTTTTGGAAAGGATACGACTTTTGGAAAGGATACGATGACATATCACGTAAGATGACCCACTTCTTCTTCCAAACTCCAAATGTTTTTTCAATTACCCCGCGTAAAGATGAGTGGCATTTCTTAAACATTTCTTTTCTGCCACGAACTGTGTCACTAACTCGCTCAAAATCAGGAAGATGATATCTCGTGTCAGAGTAGGGCTTCAGGTATCCCCTTTGCATAGGATATCCTGCATCAACCAGATAATATTTTCCTGGTACGAAAAATAATGTTAATAAAAAAATGCACAATCCCACATATTCATATTGCTAAACAAAACTAACCTGATGGGGGGTGAGGGAAACACTGCGATCTATTCCTCATGACAAAGGAGAAAATCTGACTGTCATGTGCACTCCCTTCCCAGTCCACATCCACAAAAGTAAAATATATGTTGAAGTCACATACAACCATGACATTTTGCGTTGTTGCACCACTACGACCGATGTATGCTACCTTCTCGTGGTTGGGTATTCGGGCATCAACGTGTGTACTGTCAATTGCACCAATACAGTTCTGTTTAGTTGTCCATTAGAGAGTAATAATATTATTAAAGTATAGCATGTAACAAAATAAAAACACTGATAGTTACCTTGAAATATGACATGTATCAAAGATCGTTGGCAATTTGTTCTGGAGTGGTAGCAAATGATGGATCCTCTAGTTTAATTATTTGAGTTGTTAAGCTCTGTATCCCTTTTGAAAAGTAACGACTAATTGTTTCAAATGAATGTTGAAATCTTTCCATGGCTCCTCGAATTGATTCATTCTGTGCCAGAATGTACAGTGTTATAGCCAACACCTCCCGA